CATGGCAATGGCTTACTTTTCAGTTACTGTGACAAGTGACCAAGGCAACTAAGAAAAGGAAGCGTTTGATTGGATTCTGGTTTCAGAGGGGTAGAGAGTTGTGATGGAGGATCGAAGGCTTGGCAACAGGAACAACGGAGAGCTCACAAAATCTTGATCTGAAAGTGGAGGCATAGAGAGACCACTGAAACTAGTGTGGGCCTTTGAGACTTCGAAGCCCCCCACCCCCCCAGTGACACACCTCCAACCAGGCCAATCTGGTTGAATCTTCCCCAGAGAGTTGCACCAACTGGGGACCGAGCATTCAAACTTATGAGTCTATGGCCGACACTACCATTCAAACTGCCATATATAGACATCTTGATCTGATCATTATAATTGTATAAGTGTCTTGAATGGTCTTGCTGTACCCCAAGATATAGGATTATTATGTGTCAGCTAAAAAAAAAAAAAACATCCCAGGTGGTTTCACATATACCTGCCTTCTAGAAGTTTAACTCCTCCATTTAAAAGTGAGGGAGTGGCTGTATATTTCAGGGCTGAAGTGTGTGTCAGGCATTCATGAGGGAACTGGGTTCAGTCCCTAGCCAAATAATAATAAAGTGCATCTTACAAACCTTCCTGTGTGGGGGCCCCATCTGTTCAGATGCGGTGGTGTCATCCTGCCTCTGCCTCACCTCCTGCATGCTGGGATTAGAGATACCTAGAGTTACAAGACGCCTTCATCTCGATGTTCCCAGCCATGTCCTTGGTAAGCTTAGAGTGTAGTTAGTGTAGTAGACTAGACTCATGGGAAAACAGCAACACAGCTACGTCTCATCCCATTGATCAGCTGCTCTTAAACTTGGGTCCATGTAGGGGTCACTGGCAGTGTTCTGAAATGTGTGCCTTCTAACCCATCCTGCTTGCTTTAGACTCGGCATTTTGAGGGTGAAGCCCGAGCCAGAACTTTCTCTGGTGGGTTCTCCAGGGGTTTGAGTCTGCACTGAAGTCTAGGATCCATCTGTGGAGTTGAGAGACAAGAATTTGTAGCTGACTGGTGTCAGTGAAGGCTTCAGGAGGGCCCTGAATTTATCTTTCCAGGGTCCTCCCCACACTCAAGCTCCTGATGATTCCTGGACTTTTTGCCCAAGTACCTGGCTGCTCAGTTCTTTTTGTGCAACCTTGCTTGATCAGGAAGTCTGTCTGGGATAGTCTGGGTGCCACCATGACAGTGAATTGTTGCTATTAAGCTTCTAGATTCAGTTAATTGGAGTGGACACTGAGTCTCACTTTGGATAAAGTTGTCTCAGGAATCCTAGGGATGTTTTCCCCCCTGGGTGGGTAGGAGGAGGTGGGCAAACAGCTTTCTAGACATTTATCATGCTTTCCTGGCTCCTTGGGGTGGAGAGAACATTTATCTGTGCCTCCCCCACCCTCACCCCCCAGGGTAACTGGGCAGCACATCTTGGTGAGGAGGAGGCGTGAGAGGCCAGAGCAGAGAGCTGACATCCTCGAAATCTGATCTACCCCTGTCATTACGTGTGGCTTAGAGGCCAAGCTGTTCCCCCATCCCACTTCACTCAGGATTCAGGATGGGGCTCCAGAGGCTTGGAGATGTGGTTTGGGGTGAGGAGAGCAGTTATTTAAGAGTAGCCCAGACCCTGGTGTTTGTATCTTGTAATTAGCTTGGTTGAGGGGCCCATGGCCGCCCCATGCAATGTTCACCCTATTTTCATGTAATTCTCCCGGCCACCGCCTGGCACGGTTTATCATCTCTATTTTATAGGGACAGTCTTGTCTGCAGTCAGAGTGTGAATACTACAGTTAGGATGTGGTGGCTTCTAGGAGGCCTGGGAGCCTTTGGCTCCACGTGTCCCTGGAGCTCTTGGCCCCAGTGAGGCTGCGGAGACTCAGGCTTGCTTCTGCCATCCAGCAGAGCTGAGTCTCTGCCCAGAGTAGTTCAGAGCCCTAGAGGCCATCTCTCCTTACTCTTGGACAGTGGTGGCTGTCTTTGGATTTTGAGTTGAGAATAACAGAGCCTTTCTTATCACAAAGAAGATTTCCTTTAAAAATGATTTAAACACCATTATGAAGTTTAACAATGCATAAATAAAAGGGATGCTAACCCGAGCAACCCAGGGCAGCTTTCACTTACTTATCTTTTACAGAACTTGGGGCGATACCTAAGGCTTCCGACGTGCTTGGAAAGTGCTCTACCACTGACCCATCTTCTCCCCCTCCCCCACAAAGGAATTCTTCTAACTCAATGTTTCATCTGTAAAAAGTGGCAATGGGGTCTTTTTTTAAAAAAAAGTCTTTTCACTGAGGTTTAGAGTTCTCTTAAATGGCTGTGTTATTCCTGTCCATCTTCCTTCTCTTTCTTTCTTTCTTTCTTTCTTTCTTTCTTTCTTTCTTTCTTTCTTTCTTTCTTTCCTTTTCTTTCAAGATAGGGTTTCTTTGTGTAGCCCTGACTGTCCTAGAACTCGCTCTGTAGACCAGGCTGGCCTCAAACTCACAGAGATCTATCTGCCTACCTCAGCTTCCCAAGTGCTAAAATTAAAGATATGCGCCACCACCACTGGGCCCCTATCCATTTTCTTATGAACAAGAAATTCGGCACTGAATTTACTCAGAGATATATGTTAATTTTAGACAATGGACTAGAAGGCTTTTCCAAAAACTAAGATATTCCTTTTTAAAATTTCTTTTAATTAAAAAATGTATTTTTATTTTATGTATGTGGTATTTTGTCTGCATGTATATCTGTGCACCATATGTATTTGGTGCCTGTGAAGCCATAAGAGGCCATTGGATCCCCTGGAACTGGCGTTATAGGCAGTTGTGAGCCACCATGTAGGTGCCAGGGATTGAACTGGGTCCTCTGTAAGAGAAGCAATGATCTTAACCATTTGAGCCGTCTCTCCAGCCAAGATATTTCTTAAGGCAGTCTTCTAGAATGGTGGACCATTTCACTGTTAATCCTTAGGTAAATTTACCAACTTTTCTTATCAAGGATTTTGTTCCTTTCATTGCTTTGAGATAGCCCCATTTAGTGAGGGTTTCAGTTGTCTTCCTAGAGGATAAAGGTGTTCATTGGAGCTGCAGGTTCAGGTTGTGGGCGTGGCTTCTCAACGGACTCTGACTATGGGGGTGGGGTGGGGTCTCCGACTCAGGTTAAAAGGGAAAGGGTTTTCATTCGGTCCTATCTATCGGCAGCTCCACTGGTATGATTTCTAATATTGGTCAACAGAAATCAGGGAGCCAGGAAGGGTCCGTCACGGCATAACATTGCTGACCCAGTATTTGGAGCTCCCTGGTGTTGTTTGTTTTTTGCTCCTTGCTTTGTTTTTAATTTGTTTCTGCATTGTGTGTTGCAGTCCGGGGACAGAACCTAGACTGTTGTGCTCACTAGGCAAGCATTCCCATTGCTCTGCCCCCTCAGCCATCCTTGCTGCATTCTTAGCATGTTTCCTTAGTGGTTTTCATTTTTTTTGTGTTCAGACATCAGTTTCATTTGGCATGTATTATAGTAAGTAAATAAACTCACAGGCATGTTAAAAAAAAACTTGTATCATATGAGTTTGTATACTATATGTTATGAAATGAATGCTGAAATGATATGAATAAGACGGAGCAATCATTCAGAAAAGATGCTGTAGGCCACACTTGCAGGGCATTCCTGTGCTCCAGGGAAGTCCCACACTAAAACACTTCCCTGTGTTGACCTCCCTCATTGCTGTGTCACGAGGGCGGGGCTAGAGGTGGAACGTTCCGAATCTAAAAATTTGGAAATCTGAAATGATCCCAGATCTACAAGTTTCTGAATGTCAGTGTGATAACAAGTAGAAATTCTACACCTAACCTCAGGTAGCATGTTGCCATCAAGACACAAGGCATCTAAACCCTTGTACAAAATTACAGCCTTCAGGAAATCTGTGCAATGGGTATATGAGCCATAATTAGAATTTTGTGCTTAGACTTGGGTCTGGTTCTCAGGACTTCTCATTTTTTAATGTAAATTTTGTTTGTTTGTTGTTTGTTTTTTTCAAGATAGGGTTTCTCTATGTAACAGTCCTGACTGTCCTGGAACTCACCCTGGAGACCAGGCTGGCTTCAAACTCACAGAGATCCATCTGCCTCTGCCTCTTGTGTGCTGGGATTTAAGGCGTGCACCACTACAGCCGGGTGTAAATATGCTTTTAAAGCACCGGATTGTGGTGACATACACCTATTAATCTCATCCTCTAGGAAGTGGAGGCAAGAGGACACTATTACCTCCCAAAAAGGGAAAATTAGAAAAAAAAAAAAAAGAAACTCTGAAATCTTGAGCATTTTGGTTTGGACAAAGACAACTCAGATTGCCTTTTTTTTTAAATCCAAATCAATCTACTTTTATTTTTATTATTTTTTGAATTTAATATTATTTTTAAATTAAAAAAAATTATCTATTTATTTTACATCCCAGCTGCAGCCTCCCCCCACCACATCCTCCCCTCCCAGTCCCTCTCCCCCATTCCCTGTTCTCCCACCCTCTATCCTCTCCTCTTCCATCTCCATCCGGAAAAGGGCAGGTTTCCTATGAGTATCAATAAAACATGCAGTAAGATTCAGCCTCCCCGTGTGTTAAGGCTGGACGAGGTGACCCAGTATGAAAAGTCGGGTCCCAAAAGCCAGTAAAAGAGTCAGAGACAGCCCTCATTCCCACTGTTAGGAGCCTCATAAGAGATTGCCTCTGTTTTTACAGCAGGGGACCTGAGGCTAGTTAAGAGACTTTGCAGTCACATGGCGAAGCACCCCGTCTAACCGTTGTCCTAGATTAACTTGCATGGGATGGGGGTACTGTTAATGCTACCGTTTTCTTCCAGAAAATCTGTTATCCAGGGATTGTCGCCAGTGCCTTGCAGGAGGGGACAGTGCCTAACCAGAGGCTGAGTGGCACAGACTGAACTAGACACTGGTCTGTCTTTTACTGCCGCTTTGGGGCCCTCACATCTTAAGAAAACACCTTTGTCTTTCAGAACCTGGCGGTTGGGGCAGGAGCTGTTGGATCTCTGCAGCTGACTTACATCTCGAAGGTAAGGTTGGTTTGGTGTGCTGGAGTCTAAGCAAGAGGGGAGTTCCACGTCCTGGAGGTGTGGGCCTTTGGGGGCGTTCATGTCTGTTACCATGTTTCTCTTTCCTGGGCATTGCTGACTTCCACAGTGGCTGGCTGGCAGTGGGGAGGGTGACCCACTCTTTGGATGTGCCTGTTTGTCATCTCTCCAGACCTATAGGAGTATTTGACATGATCTGTAAAGAGAAGAGTTTACTTTGGGGTTCATGTGAGGCAGTACCTTATGGCAGAATGGGCCCTACTTCTTACCTCAGGCTAGGAAGCAAATTATAGAGGGACTGGGCACCTATCATGTCTCTTGAGGGTGTCCCTAATCACTTAAGGACCTTCCCTGTGCCCCCACCTCCTAAAAGTTCCACTGGCCTTCTGGAGGCATTTCACATCCAAAATAAAGCACTATGTAGGGTGTCACCTTTTTTGTAACTGGGACAAAAGGACACCAGGACAATGACCTTGATCCAGCAAAAGATTCCCTCCAAGTGTGCAGTTAGTGAGCAGTGGGTTGGAAATGGCTCAGGCCCCCTGGAATTTTACCAGTTCTCCAGACAGAATACTTGTGGAGGGAGGGTTGGAACCCACCCCCCTTCCCAGAAGGCCCTAAGATATGCCAGGACCACTTTCAGCATCTGGGTACCTTCTGGAGAGTACGGCAGGCAGCTGGTAGTCTGTGCCTTCATCCAACATGCCCTTAGGGGCAAGAACAACACCCGTTGGCCTCTGAGGGGGGGGGCAGGGGTTCATGGTGCCCACAAAGAACTGCTGAATTCAGCTGCCTTCAGCAGCTCCTCCCCGGGGCAGCCACTGCCGCTGACCCATGATGTGGCCCTGATTTTAAAAAGAAAGAAAGAAAAAAAGCCGGGGAATTAGATTCTCTCCTGAAAGCAGGAGGAAAGAGCCAGGTGGCATCCAGCCAGCTCCAAAGCTGCCGAAGTCCCGTCCCCCACTCAAGTTCTCAGAGGGGCTGCTGCTTTCTTCCCTGGCCTCTCCCGCCCTAGGGACTTTGAGGACTTAGGGGCTGGGGGTTGAGCTAAGCAGCTCCTAGCTCCAGCTGGTAACAGATTTAAGGAGCTCTGTGGGAAGCTCCCAAGGGAGATGCTTAAAAAGAGATGGATCCAGAGATTCCTGAGAGGAGTGGCTATCTTCGGCTGGACCGGCAGGCAAGCTTGTCCCATGCCTGCCAGCTGCTGACAGAACCTGGCAGAGACGTCTCTGTGAGGCAGAAGCTGCCGGGCAGTGGCTGAGCTGATTAGAGAGGAGGGTAATGGCCTCAGGGGATGAGCCACGGTTAAAGTGCAGCTTCCCTAGCACAGCTGCAGGCAATTTGTGCACGCCTTTTGATAAGAAATGTGGCGGCCTCCCCGGGGCCAGGACAGCATAGCCCTCCCTCCCTCCCTCCCCCTTCCCTCCCTCTTCCCCCCAGGGGCCCTTTTTTCTCAGCTGCTTTGAGTGCATTAGGTCATTTCTCCAGAAAGAGAATTGAGAGGGGGGGAGCAGAGAACCCTGTCAAAAATGAACACTGAAACCATCTCTCCTGGGTGAGGGTTTGGGAAGAGTTCTTTTTTTTTTTTTTTCTTGGCCAGGGAAGAGAGGATACAATCTCCTGCTGAATCATGATTTATGAGCGCAGCCCAGAGGAGGCTTTCTGTGTTCTCGGCCATGTTGGCTGTCTCCTTCAGAAGGGGTGACCTGACTTTTCGCCCTTCCAGAGACAGCCAAGCATGCTGGGGCTCTTTGAAAAACCCACAATGGCCACTGGGTTAGGTTACAGATCGCTGAGTGCCTTAGCTCCAGCTGATTGCCAGAACACATACCCAGGTCCTGGTGCTGCTGGGTGCTGGCATGCGGGGGTGGGGGTGGGTAGGGGATAGGGTGGGGGGAGTTGGCGGGTGTCCTGTCCTCCAGAGAGGCAATCAAGAGATGGAACCAGTCTTTGGTCCATGATGCTACTTCTTCATTGTAACCCTTCTCTCTCTCCCGTAGCAGATATCCACACCGCCAGCCCCAGTCCTGCTCAGGCTGGACTTTTGTCAGGGCTTCTGATAGATGACAGGCTTTCCTAAAATGTGGGTTATTAACTATTCGTGTGGAGACGCTAGAGCAGTGCTTCTCAACCTGTGGGTCGCGACCCCTTTGAGGGTCAAATGACCCTTCCACAGGGGTCACTTAAGACCAACGGAAAACACATATATTTACATTATGATTCATAACGGTAGCAAAATTACAGTTATGAAGTAGCAACGAAAATAATTTTATGGTTGGGGGGTCACCACAGTATTAAAAGGTCACAGAGTTAGGAAGGACACTGTACTAGAGAATTAAGTGAAGAGTATTATTCATATTCCTGATAAACGTGCCTACGTACATAACAACTTGAAAGTCCTCTGACTTTGTCAGTGACTTCTTGCTTAACTGCTCTTAGTGCCCCCTTGAGGGACAAGGCTCCCCAGACACCACGGGAGGAACGCTTAAATTCTCCAAGGCTTCGTTCTGCTCTGGTCTCTTCTGTCGGAGGGGCCCCAGTTCCACTTCCTGTCAGTGGCAGACAGGGTGTGGCTGGCCCTCACAGCTCCCTCTGAGGTCTCTCTTTGATCTGATAAGCGAAAGCTCCAGGGATTGTCCAGCGTGCAGGCAGCTCTTCTGCGTCACTCCGTGGGGGGCCCCAGGGGTACTCTTTCCTCCACATCCCAACCTGCTCTGGCTGTTGGCATGCTCGCAGGACCTGGCAGTAAACCACTGTTGGGCAGTGACTCAGTTGTGGCCACCGTGTGGTGTGGGGATGTTTGTGCCTGGCTGGGTGCTCTCGCCTGAGTCAGACTGCTGCATGGCCTCACCCACCTGTGGCCACACTGCTTCCTGCAGTTCCTCTGTTCTTTTCTTCCTGTGTTTAAAGATGGCTGCTGCAGCCTGGCATAGTCGCCAATCCATAGTGGCAGGTGGATTGGGAACATTCAGACCTCGGGGGGAGGGGGGGGCGGCAGGCTGTCAGGGAGAGAGGCCGAAGCCAGAGTTCCAAGCAGCCCTTCTCTGTGGACACAGCCACAGGTGGGCGAACCCACTTCCTGTTCTGTGAGAAGAGCGGTACTGTCCTTGCTAAGCTGGTCTGGGGAGGCTCTCAACCCTGTCCCCGTCCCATGGCCACTCAGGACAGAACGGGGACCAATCCCACGAGTCTGTCAATGAGTTACTTTACCCAACAATACTTCCACGCTAAGCTATGGGCCTGAGGCACGCTGTGAACGTGCGTGCATGCAGCCTTCCTCTCAAGTGCATCCAATGAGAAGAACAAGCAGAAAGCCATGTATTTCTTTGGAAGCTTCGGGTCTCACGGTAACTGCATGGGCAGCATTTTCCCGGGCTGACTAATCAGCGCCAGGAGCAGGCTCATTGGTAATCCATGTAGGGTGAAAGGGTCAGCCCGTGGCGCTCTGTCCAGTCGGTGGTAAATACAGGGAGAGAGGATCTCTGGGACAAGCTTTTCCATGCCACCTAAATTGCCAGCTGGATGAGAAGGGAGCCGAGGGGACAGAACACAAGTCTGTGCAAACCGGGGGGGGGGGGGGGGGGGGGGGGGGGGGGCGGGTTAAGGCAGGAACCCGGTGCAGCACAGGCAGATGGCAGGAGGCTGCTTGGGGAACACAGACACTGAAGGCCACAACCAGGAAGGGAGTGGCTTGTAGCTGAGCAACTGGCTTGGGCTAAACCTCAGGAAAATGAGGTGGCTCAGTAACAGGACTGACAACCCCCTGAGCGCTACCTGTGAAGTATGCAGACATGACTGCCTCTGGTAGTCAGTCTGTCTGAGCTCAGATCTGTGGGTTCCCCTTCGTGTTCTTCAGGACTTTCTTAGGCCACAGGGCCTCCACCTCAGGGTTCCCTCATCAGCATGGGGGTTGACATACACACATGGGCAGACTCTCTGACCCTCCCTGCTGGTGCCTGTGAAGCCTTGGCATTCTGCTAGGAGGAAGTTCACTGACAGAAGCAGTCCTTTATCCTTGCGCCTTCAGAAACAGGGGTCATGTGACTTCTCGTGTGCTTTAAATACCTGCCATTGAGGATGATGTAATGTTTTGTAGGCATTTGATTATTGACTTTGGAAATGCCATGCTTTTTTTTTTTTTAAATGTCGGAAGCTAAGCAGTTTTTTCAGGCCCCATTTTAAATTATTATTCTTATTGCTGTTATTATTCTTATTGCGTGTATGCATGTGCACATGTGCATGCATTGGTGTATGATTTGTTTTAAGATGTCCACTCATGTACACGTGGTCCACTCATGTAGCCCAGGCTAGCCTGAAACTTTCTATGTAGCCTAGGCTGGCCTGAAAGCCAAGATCTTTTTGTCTCAGCCTTGTGAGTGCTGCCTTGCCCGGAATAACAGTCCCTCTTTGATGAGCAGAGTCTATGGTAGTGCAGCCAAGTCCCTTGCTTGTACTCCCACATTCAAGGCTCACATTAACTCCATGGAGGCACTACTTTGACTCTTCTCTTGACAGACCATGTCACGGAGGTCACACGCTTGTGATCTGAGTCTGACTCCAATGCCAGCCTCTGCTTTTGATATTTTGGAGGGTGACACCTCAGCTCCTGGTTGAGCCTTTGGAGCAATGTTATTTTTGGCTAAGGAAGCAAGGCAGGTCTCTAGGAAGTCTTTACGGTCAAGAGCAGCAATAGCCTAGCGACCGGTGTGGCAGGCAACGTGAGATCTTTAGCAGGTGCGAGCCACAAGGAGACATCACTTTCTCCTCAAGACTTTAATTCCTGCTTCTAATCCCAAGTCCCAGAGTCCTGAGTGGAGACCAAGAAGACCTAGGACACCTAGAAAGGGGACTCAGAACAGTGTCTAAGGCAAGATGTCGGCTCTCTGTGGATAGGATCCACGGTAGTTGCTGCCTCACCAGGCACATGTGTAGAGTGCTCCAGTGTGGCTGGACCAGCATGTAGGATAGTCATCAAATCATTGTAGGCTGTGATGGAACATGAGCCCGAGTGATGTGGGCTCCTGTGCAGATACACAGCAAAAGCTAGATGAAGCACACCAATGCCCCCATCTCCCAGGCCCTGCTCTTGAATACGCCCAGGTGAGCATACTCATCTGGCAGCCGCTCTCTGGGTTGTTGGAGAGTTGCCCATGTTCATGGCCAGCATAGATAACTAGGCCTTTGGACAGCATATCTAAACGCTTGCCACGCTCTCACCCCCCTTTCTGCTTTGACCTGAGTTTGTATGGCCGAAGAAATACCACTTTCAGTTGGGAGACTGTTTAGGGAAAGGGGATTAGTTCTTGAAAGCACAGCAGAGGCCTGCTGGTATGAATGGGGTTCTGCTAGATCTTTTGGCTCAGAGAGAGATTCTTGTCCCGACCCGGTGGCTTTTAAAGTGTTTTTGCAGAGACAAAACTTAACCCAGGCATCAAGATAGCAGTTATGTGGGCGTGGGCGGTAGAGATTCCGTCATGGAAGGGGTATGATGAGTTTGGAAGGCAGTCGCTCGCGGTCCCTGGTACTCAACACTTCGGACATCAGATATTTACATTACAATTCATAACAGTAGCAAATTTACATTTATGTAGTAGCAATGGAATAGTTTTATGGCCAAGGGGGGGGGGTCACCACAACATGAGGAACTGTATTCAAGAGTCTCAGCATCAGGAAGGTCGAACCATTGTTTGAAGAAGTAGGACTGATAAAGCCAGTTTCTTAAGAAACTGAGGTTAAAACTCTCAAATTTTGGTCTTCCAAATGTACCCAAATGATGTGTTCTTTTTATGTGTGAATATTTTCAAAGTCAACATTTTTTTTCATGCTGTTGGAAACCCATTCATGTCTCTTTTGTCTTTACTTGATTTAGGTGAGCATAGCTACCCCAAAGCAGAAACCGAAAACTCCATTCTGCTTTGGTGAGTATTGAGCCAAGGTGGGTTTTCTCCACAGATGTGTGACAACTTCTTTTCCATGGAAGAGAGCCCTGTGGTACCATGGGAACTGTATCCTGGGTGTAGGAGCGGCTTAGATAATAGTGATGTTCTGGATGCCAAGTAATACCACTGCAAAATTATTAATAACTGTGGTCAGGCACACAGGGGCCAGCCACGTTTTAGCTAGGCTGGCCTCTGCTCACTGTCTGCCTCCCGCCCCACCTCCACCCCCTGCTCCATGCCCAAGCTGGCCTGGAACTTTGTTTCTGCGGCACCCAGACTCCAAAGTGCTGGGATTACTGGCTAAGCTATCAGTTGTGTTTTGGTATTTGGGATGCCATAAGGTGGAGAGAAAACATCTCATGGAAGCTTCTGGGAAGCCGCAGCTGTAGAGCTGAGTGGTGCTGTAGGAAATGAGGAGATCTGAGAGAGGGGAGAAGAGGAGGAAAGAGTGAGGATGAAGGAAGGAATGTCAAGGGTCTCAAGGTTGCCAGATGAGTGGCAGGCAGCTGGGGTAGGGTTGTTAGTGGCACAGGAAGCAGAGCCATCATCAGTGCCTCAGGTTTCTCTACCTTTGGTGAGTTCGGTGACTCGGTTGCTGAACTGTTAACTAGCCCTCACTGTGAGCAGAGCTGAGGCATTTCTGTGTCCAGGGAGGCTCTGGACATAAGCTTCAGGCGGGTGAAGCCCCATCTTGCTCTGTCCCTGCATGTTCTCAGCACATAGAATGGCTGCAGGCATGTAGTGGGCACTCAATAAATATTTGTTATGTGCATGAAGCAGGGGATCCTTTGTCTCCTCTGCAATGGCTTCTTGACTTAATACTTATGGTAGAGGGATGAAGTAACCCCCTTCTCCCGACTCCACATTGGTGCTCTCTTTCTCCTGTTTCTTCCAAATATCATTGCTAATTTCAGAAATCATTCTTAGATTTTGTAATATGCTCATCTAATAATACATTGATAATAATAATAGTAATAATAATAATAAATTCAGAGGTAAGCTGTTGACTAAGGAAACGTTCAGAGGGAAGAACAGGTTGAAAACAAGGCTAAGCTCACAGACCCGATCTCCAGCAAGCCTTCCTCCGTTTCCCAGGCATAGACAATGTTCTAGCAGAAGCAGCACTAGGCTCCCAGCTTAGCCCACCAGCAGGCCTGCAGCCTGCATCATGGATGTGCAGAGCTTCATGAGTGTCTTACTGGAGGCAGACGAGTAGCCTGTGGCTACCAGCAACACAAGGAGGCTACTCTTAACGCCAGTGTCGTTCTGGTGGCTGATGGGAGATGAACTTTAAAGATGAGCTGCTGCGATCGGCTGTCTCTGAAAACACGGTGGACAGTTTCTGGATCTGCTGAATGGCCCTTATGGCTCTTGCCACCTCAGACACTCTAACTTCCTGGGCTCTGTGGTCCGTGAATTCTGACCCGAAACCCTTTCTCTCCTTCCCCATTACTCTTACAGTTATCAATGCCCTGTCTCAGAGATATTTTCTTCAAGCCAATGACCAGAAAGATCTGAAGGACTGGGTTGAAGCTTTGAACCAAGCCAGCAAGATCACTGTATGTATGCTTTTTGTTCTTTCTGGTAGTGAAAGTGGCGTGTCCCAGTGTTTGGCCTCAGTGGGGTGGGGACAGGACTTAGAAGGCAGCAGGGACTTGTCCCCGAAACTGGGCAGACCCAGCTCTCTCGGCTCTCTCTAACCTCCTCTTGCCCGTTGGCTTACAACTAGAGGTTAACTTGAGTGTGTGAGTTTGCATCAAGTTCAAGGGGAAGTTTATGGAATGTCCCGTCCCCTTTGTGCTTCCTGGGAGGGGCTCCTATCAGTCATGTTCTGGGTAATTATGGGATGCTGACTCAGTGCTGTGCTGGAGAAGGGTTGCTGACTATGGGAAGTCGAGGAACAGGGACAGCATATGAGAAGGAACTCTGATCTGTTTGTTTTTTCTAGCTTGGGGGACATTCTTCTTTGTTGTATCTGGACAAGTCTTCCATTTAAAAGCTTTGCCAGCTTTGAAGCTTGTTCATGGGCTGTGTTAAGTACTCTTGTCTTGGCTAATGAAGAAATTATTTCCTAGTCCTTAGAAATCTCTTTAAAAAAATGAAACAGAGAAGTGTTAGAGGGAAGGAGAGAAAGGGAGAGACATGTTCGTTTCCCAGCATGCCGACAACATGCTGGAGATAATCTGGTGCTAAGGCTGGGTGAACTGCATGATCTACAATCATGGTGCTTGCTCTTGCAGATCATGGGGCCTTTTCCTGCCGGTCTGGGCCTGTGATCAGGCAGGCTACGGAGGCATGTGACATAGGAGCATGTTCATCTCCTAGAAGTTGGGAAGCAGAGAACAAAGCAAGAAGGAGCTGGGGTCCCACTATCCCCATGAAGGGCATATGCCCAATGACCTAACTTTTTCCACTCTGTCCCATCTCTGGAAAGTCCCACTGCTTCCCAGCAGTGCCACGGGGCTGGGAACCCAACATCTAACTGGGGGAATAGTTAGTGACCTTAGCAAAAACTTCTCTGAGGAAAGAAAGAACGACCAGCGAAATGCAATCCAGCCAGGCAGGCAGAGCCCAGTCGTCCAGTTTGCTGAAAACTTAGAAAGTCTGCGCTGTACCCCGTCTTAGGGTTTTTTTTTTTTTATTGCTGTGATGAAACACCGTGATCAAAAGCAATCTGGGGAGGAAAGGTTTCATTGGTCTTACACTTCCACATCAAGGTTCATCACTGAGGGAAGTCAGGAGAGGAACTCAAATCGAGCTGGAGCCTGGAGGCAGGAGCTGATGCAGAGGCCGTGGAAGGGTGTTGCTTCCTGGTTTGTTCCTCATGGCTTGCTTAGCCTGCTTTCTTATAGAACCCAGGACTACTATCCCAAGGATGGTCTCATCCGCAATGGGCTGGACCCTTCCCCATCAATCACCAAGAAAATATTTTACATCTGGATCTTCTGGAGGCATTTTCTTCATCGAGGTTCCCTCCTCTCTGATGACTTTAGCTTGTGTCAAGTTCAGATAAGAGTAGCCGGCACAGGCAGTCAGAAATATTGGTCTTCCAATGATTTCAAATAAAAATGCCCATCGCTGGGGCCAAATTTTTCTTCCAGATACCTTAGAGTTTCCACGGGTATTAGTGGATGAAATCTCTATGTCTGTCCAGCATTTGTGTCGCTGGACCCAAGCGGGGTAAAATTTAGCCATGTAAGCAGCTTGGCGGCTGTTTACTATTCTGGTAAACCTTGATGAACCTGCATCAAGGGAGCGCGAGGCCAGGCTAGCAGAGGAAGAGTCTTGCTGTGTGCTGTCTCTGAGCTGCGGGCACGGGATGCTACCTCGGTCACTCGCAGCACATTAACGAGGGTGGCTTGAGGGGACAGTGATAGTTAGCATCCTAGGAGTAAAGGGCACAGCTCTGACGATCTGAGCTTCCCTTGTGGATAAAACTGAGACAATCATGGTCCTGGGCTAAGAGGGGGCAGCCGGATGCTGGGCACTTCCCTTGGCACTGGTTGGGCCATGATGTGAGGACTGCTACATGGCAGGCCACCTGAGGGACAGGAGAAGGGTGGATGCTGGATTGTTTTGGAGAGGTGGTGGCAGAAGGTGTGTGTGTGTGTGTGTGTGTGTGTTTGTATGGATGGATGTATACGTGTACATATTCTACCATGTCCTGCTCATTTATAGTATTCTGACTCTTGTTTTGCTGGGGACTTTTTATTCACTCTTAACTACTAGCATTTCAGTGCCAAGAGGATAGAGCTCATGTCTCTACTATCTGGTGTTTGATCTTTGCTTTTTAATCAGGGTTAGCTCATCCTATAGGTATGGCTTAAGTTTTCTGTGTGTGTGTGTGTGTATCTATGTGTGTAAAGGGCTGGCTGAGTTCCTCATATTTGGATATGAACGTCCATAGAAGAACTGGAAGGGAAGAGGAGAGTATCCTCACCATCATTTAGTAAATTAGCTTTTCCTTTCCCCCACATCCTGTTTGTGGTCCTGCCCTTCTCCTAAGCTCCCCATTTCTTGCTGACCTTATCACTGTTCTCCCCAGGTACCCAAGGCTGGGACCCTACCCTTGGCCACTGAAGTTCTCAGAAGCCTCACAGCTCCTCCCACCCTAGACAAGAAGCCGCAGGTGGCCTACAAGACCGAGATCATTGGAGGAGTAGTGGTCCAAACACCCATCAGCCAGGTGCCGTGGCTTGGGGCGGCTGGGGGTGGTAGAGAAATGTCCATTGTGCCCAGCACTTAGCAACAGGATGCGGGGAAGCTAGTGGAGAGGAGGTGACCATGAAAATACAGTGCGGGGTGGGTGTGGTCAGTGCCAATGTAGAAGTTGAGGCTATGACATCATGATATCTTGAGGATGTGCGGTCTGTGAAGTTCTCCTTAAGACCCAGGCAACAAACACTTGTAAAACTTGGTGAGGCAGGGAGTGAGACCAGACCCTGGGGGCTTGTGCCCTCTTCTGTTCCTCACTGTCTGTCTTCCTCTTCTGGGTCTCTAGCCAGGGTCTTGTTTTATGAAAACATTCAGTGGCTCACCTGATGGGGAGCAAAGTCAGCTTTTATTTCTTTGACTGACATACTATCAGAAAGGCTAGAGGTGTGGTGGGAAGACTGGGAGGAGCCGGGGCTGCCCAGAGGAGCAACCGGGCATTAACAGTGACACTGTTTCCTTGTAGAATGGTGGGGATGGGCAGGAAGGGAGTGAGCCAGGGTCTCATGCCTTCCTGCGGAGGTCTCAGAGCTACATCCCCACATCAGGCTGCCGTCCTCCCACCGGGCCTCCCCTCATTAAGAGTGGCTACTGTGTGAAGCAAGGGAACGTGGTGAGTGCCAACACAGGGGCTACCCTGGGGCCAGCAGAGGACAGTGAGAGGAGGAACTGTACCCCTCTATGCTAACCACCATTGGGAACTAGCCGTTAGCCCTGCCCAGAAAGCTCACCCCTGACTCAAGAAGCCTCAAGGCCTTCAGACTGATAGGCAAATTTCCCTCCTCCCATTTCTCTGCTCCTTCCACTGAGAGAATGAGTCCCCATAGTCTCGGTTTGTATTGCTGAGCTGAAACACCGTGACCAAAAGGCAAGCTGGGAAGGAAAGGGTTTGTCTGCCTTATTCTTTCCCAGCACTTCCGAAGGAAGTCAGGACAGGAACTCAAGCAGAGCAGGAACCTGGTGGCAGGAACTGGAGCAGAGGCCATGGAGGAACACCGCTTACTGCTAGCTTTCCCATGGCTTGCTCAGTCTGCTCCTTACAGAAACCAGGACCACCTGCCCAGGGATAAGCCCACCCAACAATGGGCTGGACCCTCCCCCATTGATCTCTAATTAAGAAAATGCCCTAGAGCCGAATCTGATGAAGGCATTTTCTCAGCGGTGGCTTGCCACAGCCCACTTTTACGGAGGCATTTTCTTAATTGAGGTTCCCTCCTCTCCGATGACTCTGGCTTGTTTCGAGTTGGTGGGAAACTAGCCAGCACAGGGGTTAGCTTCTGGTGGCAGCAGAGAATGACAGTGGTGTCCTCCTCCGGCACTAAAGTTAGGTGCTTGGTCTTGGGAAGGCGGGGTTCCGATGGAGGCCAGGGCTTGTCACCGCCCTTACGCTTCCCATTATTCCTGGTGCCTGTTCTGATGGAGATGAGAGCCTGGCTTCGGCGGTGCCGGATCCCTGGGCATTTATTGTGACTGTGGCCAGTCCTGGCGCCTGAGACCTGTCCTTAATGTTTGGCTCCTTCTTTTGCTTTTCAGCGGAAGAGTTGGAAACGACGCTTCTTTGCCCTCGATGACTTTACCATCTGCTACTTCAAGTGTGAGCAGGTGGGTGGTAGGTTCCGGTTCCTCCCGAGAGATCACGGAAGCAGACAGTGTGCCTGAGCGGAGACTTCCAAGGCACCTCTTTGTCTTATCTCTGTCCAACCTGTGTCTCTTTCTGGTGCTATTAAAAGGACCTGGGCTGCTGCCAGCCCCTGCGCAGTGGGCTGCCGTGGGGGCGGGGTCACAGAGCAGCTGCTGTGGGGGCGGAGCCACAGAGCAGCTGCTGCTTAGATTTCTCCCCCTTAATGATTATTTTGAAGCCCAGGTTGGTTTTAGCCAAGACTCTGAGAAAGGGACGTTGGTGAGCTGGCGTGGCTCACTGGGCCGCGTACATAGCCTCACTTGTCTGCCTTCCATTCTTCCCCCCAGGACAGAGAGCCCCTGCGTACTATACTGCTCAAGGACGTTCTCAAGACTCATGAGTGTCTCGTCAAGTCTGGGTAACTGCTTCTTCTATATTAAATCCTCTCTCTCTCTCTCTCTCTCTCTCTCTCTCTCTCTCTCTCTCTCTCTCTCTCTCTCTCTTCTTTTT